TGAAAGAAATTAATGAATGAAATTTATTACACTTTATTTACCGTGAATAAGAGAAAAAATTAACGAAGGAGGATGAAACATATAATTAAAGTGCATTTATCTTTCTTTTAAAATTAATTATGATCTTTTAAAAAGCATATTTTATTTGTATTTATTGAAGATGAGAAAATGTCAAATAAATTATTGAAATATTTCTGAATGAGTTAAAACCATTTTAGCTTTTCATCTAGATTTTTTTTTTTAATTATGTAAATCATGTTTAAATAAATACAATGAAAACAAAAAAAAAAAAAAAAAAATTGTGCTAAAAACTACAAAAAGAAAAATTTGGAATACAATATAGTTCATCGTGGTTACTATTATTATTATTACTTACATTAAATATGCAGAAAGATTTAAATCGTTAAATATATGTCATCCGTTTATTTTCATTATATATTAGGATAATATGATGTTAAGAGCTAGGTTAATCACATATTACACGATTTTAAACTTTTTTAAAGCTTTCCTAAATTTTCAGTATTCCATCAACAAACTAATACTTATATTTCTCTCTTCCTTTCATTTACTTTTTTCCTTTGTTTCTGATTGTTATGAATGAATTTTGAAATGATAAAACTATTAGCAATTTGTTTTAAAAAAGTAAAAAAAAAAAACAAAAGTGCAAACAAAAAATATTTTCAACAAAATTAGAGAGAATATCAAAAATAAAAATAAAATGAAACAGTAGGCAATTTTCTATCAGATTTGTTGTTTTCGATAAAAATGAATGAGTAAAAATGAATTAGCATGAAATCTAAGGTAATAATTAATGTTAGTTAATAAACCAATTCTTCTATAAATTACAAAAGAAGAAAAGGTAGAAATATTAATGGCTAAATTTTTCCCTGAAGTAATAAGCTTTTTTCATTAATTTAGATAATTATAGTGGTACAGCAAAATCATTTCAAATTTCATCGTATGAAATGTTATGGATGATAATTATTTGTGCTTTTCCTTTTTTCCGTTTTTTTTTATTCAGAATATTAAATAATCTTTCAAATGTATTCAAATATTTTCCACAAAGCACATTGAGCTGTATATTTCTATAAATTATCTAATAGATGGAATTATCAAATTATTAATGTTCAATTAATAATTTAATCTGCACGCGATTTTTAATTGTATTTGTAAATGTGGTGAAGCAGCAACGAACATTTTAAATCTTTTAATTATGAATATATCTGTATGATATGAGGAAAATTACATACAATTTAAGACCTACTTAATTTCGAAATTTCAAAACAAAAACTGTGAATAAATTTAATCACTTTAAATTAAATGGAATCACCTGACAAATTGCTTAATTTAAGATGTCTTATTCAGCACAACTGAAAGTTGCGCTATAATCCGCAAAAAGATGATATCCGAATAGACAGATGCATGAAACCAATAATGACGCCAGATGTTAAGTATTCTCCTATTGCAATTCAGCAAGAAATCTATTTATTGGTTCAATTCCTGCTCTTATTCTTTCTATTATATATTTTTTCAAATATATTATTAAGCAGAGCTATCAAATATCAATTCGTTCATTTTTTTAAATTTTCATCAAAGATTTGCAGGTTAGATTTTATGTTTTAAATACTATGCATTGCTGATATTTTTTTCATCCAATATGATAAATTGGATGTTGTAAAAAGTGACAAATTAAACATTTAAAATATATTTCGTTGCAATAGGATGAGATATCATATGAGTAATATGAATGATCATACAAATGATACAATCAATTTCAAAAAGCAAATATAACATTATGAAAAGGGTTAGCGGTCAGAATAAAAAAAAAAGAGAGAAATTTGCAAATGCACTTGACCCTTTAAAATAACAAGACTTGAGTAAATTAATTGCCATGTTAATTAACTACAATAATTAGCAAATTTGGTAATCAAATAAAGGAAAAATTAAAAAATTGAAATGTTAGATTATTCAAACAACACAAATGTGACATAAAATAATTGAGAAAAAATAATGCTGCAAATACATGCGTCATTCATTACCATTAGCGAAACGGAAAATTAGCTGTAGTGGATGAAAATAGCCAGCGGTTAACCTCATTGATTAGGAATAGGATGAAATGGTAGGGGGGGATAAAGGAAGGGACGACAATACCGCTGCACACAGACTCCACCCACCCCATCATCTTATCGGTCATCTCATCATCTCTATGTGCGACTCCGCAACGCGATATGCAACACAGACGTTCCAGGCCTGTATGATGGTGATTAATGATTTTAATCTGTGATACCTGGCCCATCTAAGGTAAATGAGGTTAAATGTCAATCCTTCGTGGGAATATTCTTCATACACATTAAGTTTTTACACACACACATTAAAAAGTCTTCATAACACATTAATGACATTCATATGGGAAGTTAATCAATCCTTTAATGCCAATAAAGACATAAATTAATGAAAATATAAATTGATATATGAAATGAACTCATCAAATTGAATACTGAAAATCGCATTCAATTATGCACAATTTTTTGTTAAATTACAATTTAGTATGATTCTGTATTCAGTTTTTTGAACTCACTTCAGGTTTAGTATGCAAGTTAAATTAATATGCAATTCAGTTTAATATCTAATTTTATATCAATTTATACCAAATTAATATACAATTCAGTTTTATATCTAATATTTAATTTGACATCATTCATTTCAGTTAATAATTTGAATGTTTTATTTTAAAATGGGATTAAAATGTGAATGATAGTTTAAATAACAGGTTAATAATGTTTTTATAAATAAAGCATAAAAATAAAAGAGAATAATTTGTTGCTATTATTATCGCAAATTACAAAATACACCATTCAAGTCCATTATAATAGAAAATATTTTTCCAATTTTAAATGTTATTTATATCATATGCAAATTTTAATTATTGTCAGCATTTCTTTTTTTTTGCTCATCAACTGATTTTATCTATAATAATCCACGTATATGTACTATTCCACGTATACGCTTTCAAAATTTCAATTATTGTAAATTTAATTTATATCTTCTAATTCTTGCACATTTAATTTATATTTTTTAACTTGCTCATAAATTATATTAGTATTTATCCATAAATAGTGCTGGTACCAGTATTATTATTCATTTATTTGTTTGCTTAGTAGTTTCATTAACTGATTGTTTGTTCATTTGTTCACTATATGTAACAAAATTTTCTTTTATTTCAGTTGTAATCACTAAAAGGATAATTGAAAAAAAGATAATTTGAAATGTTTTATTGAATAAAGCATGTTAATATGAAATCTTCGATAGTTATAGTAACCGAAACTATAATGCAACTTATCATTTGTCAGCGATTTCCATCCATGGATGTATTTTATTGTTTATCAATGATTTATCAGCGTATTGGTTGTTTGATCAAAATTTTCAATCGATAAATGTATATCAACTCGAGAAGAGATCGAAAATAGTCGTTAATGCATTTATTCATCAAACCAATAATTAACAGTGCTAATTTAGCAATTTTTTTTTTTTTTTGAAAAAAAAATTTCAAAAATGAAAAAGAACTGGCAAAAATGAAAGTAAGTGAAAGGAAATTTTTTAAAACTATCAATAAAGCTATAAAATATTCAATTTATTTGTATAAAATGATTGAATTTATTAATTGTCATTCATCATAGCAACGTTTGATTTATTAACATACATTAGCAAAATAATTTATAGATAAATACACTTTGATATTAATAATTTACAAAATGTTATTTTGGAGAATGGTAAACTAGCCGACTGGCTAATCACAACTTTTTTTTTTCTTTTTCTATAAACAAATAATTTTTAGGTTTTAACAAACAAATTGAAAGAAATTTATGGAAAATGAAAATGGATTTATTATCAAATGCTAGAATAAAATTAGATGAAATGAAAATTCAATAGAAAAATTTTTCTATTATGTATGAAAATATTTAGCGCTTATAAGAATTATGATGAAAATAAGATTGTTTCTAAATAAAATTTAGTTTTTATAAAATTTTATGACTATAAAGAAATAGTTAAAGCAATTATTACATGTTATATATAATTCTACTCAATTTATAAAATTTTAGCCAAATGATGGAACTGATGGATTCAGCTAAAATAATTTTTTTTTAAAAAAAACGAGCTAATTTAGAAAATGAAGAAGTATTGATTTATTCCTCAAATCTACTGATATGTAAATAACTAAATTGTTTCAAGCATGGAATTCATGCAAATCTGCTTGGATAGGTTTTTTTTTCTATTTTCTTAAATTATATTTTTTTCTGCATATGGAATTTTCCCTTGAAAATTCACAAGTTCTTACTGTAACATTCTAGCAATTATTCGTGGCATTTCATAATTAACAATTTTACTAACTAAAAACAAAATATTATCTCTATTTGCATCCAATATTCATATATAATAATATTTCAGTTATTTTATGAATTATTGTATTATTGTCTTTTTGTTTCAAAAGTAGAACATTTAACATTAAATTTTTTACCTTTTGATTTTTTTAAATTCTAACTTATGCTTTTTTAAAATCCAAAATTTAAATTTATCTAACATCATTAAGTTATAAATATCAAATTTGTGGTAGCTATTACTGTTCAAATTTTTCTTTAGAATTTGCTATCAATAATTTTGGTATTGAATGAAGTACAGTTGTCAATCTTTAACATTAAAAACTATTAAATGGAAATATTAAAAAAAAATATTAAATGGAACTGATCTAAATCAGTGGAAATAATGTGCCGAAAATGTAGAAAAAAATGGATATGAATTGGGTTATCATAAAACACTACTCATCGTCTCGAGAATAACAAATTTTGAGATGCATTAACAATCTTAAAGAATGAAGTATTGAAAAAATGCAATTTGAATAAAATTAATATTTAATTGATAAAATGGAAATTGTTACAAAATGAAACAATTAATGAAGAAAATGTTCACTGCAAAAATATAATAAGTTGTAATTGGTCGACAAAATGATTGATAGAGCCGCTCGATCTGTATTTTTTTGTTTTGTTTATTTTAATATTTAATTGAAAAAATGATTACTATTTTGAACTTATTCCCCAATTTGGTACTTCACTAGTTGTATTTTCCACTTATTATTGTCATTTATTTATTTATTTAATAAATTGATTGTTTGATTTATTTATTTGTTCATTTTATTATTATTATTATTATTATTATTATTATTATTATTATTATTATTATTATTATTATTATTATTACTTATATTATTATTATTATTACTTATATTATTTATATTGTTGCTGTTATAAATTATTAATACACAAATATATTCATGTTTTTACTGAAAATAACAGGTGATACTGTCATTTCTTACTAACTTAAGTAAATCAAGCATGTTAAAAGTGCAGATTTAATGTTTGTTAAAAATTTGAAATTACTGATGTAGTAATAATTACTGCTATTATCGCATATTTTATTCATTCCAAATTTTAGCAAAGAAAGCAATATTTGTTTTATCATAAATAATATAAAATGAGTTTACAATTCGTATCACTTACCATTATCACTCTAATGCGTTGTTAAATGTTAGATTTGTTAATCTAAGTGATATAAATAGTTAAATAATAATAATAATTTTTATCCATTATATGTAACATCAGATTTCTCTTCAACATCACTTTTATAATTAATTCTGTACTTCGCATTATTGATTTCCAGATTAAGCGATCCCGAACGCACCTAGCGATGCGTTTTATGTTCCGTGTAAATCCGTGCTTTTACTGTTTCGGATTTCAATGTGTTTTTGCATTACTATTGATAATTTTAATAGCATTATTTTGCAAATCAGTTAGCTTTAAAATTGTAAGCAATTCATTTGATTAATTAATTTAAGCTTTTTTTTTAAATTTTCGCAAAGTAAGTGTGAGTGTCAAATTTTGTTCTGGCATTTTTTTTCTTGAGAAATCTGAAAATTTGCAGTCTAGTTTAAGCTTATCAACCCTTGTTTTTTTTTTTTTTTTTTTAAAGATATTTGCTCCTTATTAAAATATGAATAAATTCATTACAAAAGTGAAACTAATTTACATTAGTCAAAACTGAAAAATATAACTTTTATTCTACATCTTGTAAAAGTTTCATCAACTGACTGAGAAAAAGTTAGACCAATTAATCAATTATTTAGTTAACTAATGCTAGACCAATATCATTTGATTTCGTTCAAAAATTATAAAATGATAGCAAATATTAGTTAGTTTATTTCAAAGCTATTTCAATAAATAATAATTTTAATTCGCTATATTATAATTTCAGGATGAATTTAGCCGTCTTTTGCGAGAAAACCAAATTTTAAATGAAAAGAAAAATGTGATGCCATTTATTGAATGCACCTATAAAAAAACGCCAGAATTTTCAACTGTTCATATTTTGTATTACTATGATATTCTTTACGTAAATTGACGCTAAAATTTACGTCTAAACGTTATACAGATATTTCTATCAATATGCTTATTTATATAATAAAGGGAATATTATTTATATTATTACGTTTCGTGTTTTTGCACTGTCTTTTTTTTCTGTTCATGTTTTTCATACTTAATTTAAAGCTTTTTATATTTATTTTCTAGGTATTCTATATTTGTTACTTTTTTAAGCTCTCATTTTATGATTTAATTTTCAAATTTAAATTCCATTTATGCAACAAATATAAAATTATGAAAGTATGAAATAAAATAATTTCAATTAAAAATTTTTTAAACAATTACATGAATTTAGAGTAGCTGTGGTGAAGATGATGATTTATATGCTTTTATTTCACGATTTTATGAAAGTACTTCTGCAAATTCTCAATGTGTCAATCGTGTTGACTTGGTATGTTTGTTCATTTGTTTTCATTTTCAAACAAGAATAGGCAAGAAAATGATTGAACGATGAACGATGATTAAATTGTTTAATGATTAAACAACAAGAAAACAAGCAAATAAAAAAGGAGAAAAAAAAATACTCGTCGAAATTCGTTGATGGTAAATATTGAAAAAAATGGAAAAAATATCTCTGTTAAAATTTATTTTGATATTAAAAGATTAATATTTATAGAATTTCTTCTATCTTTCTTGTTATTAATTAAAAGTAATAAAAACAATCATAATAGTTTAACAGATTATTTCAATTTAACATTGACATCAATAAATAAGTCATTCAAATTTCAATCTAACTTAGCCAAAAAAAAAATGTCTCACCTAGTCTAAATGCATTTTTCAAATAAGTACACAAATTATTAAAACATTTTTTTAGAGAATCTTTTTCATTTTATTATTACAATTGATAATATAAAATAATTTGCTTACTTTGGCTAATATATATGTTTGTTCAGCCAATCAAAATGGCTCATAATAGCTAATAAGAATGATTAAAAAATTATCAGAAAAGAAAAAATAAAAATATCTCATTAAAAAAAAAATTAGTTATACGATTTTCTTCATAAGTTCCAATAAAATACTTCATTAGTCTTCACTGATTTTGTTAATAAATATTTCACAAAAGTACTTTATTAATTTTTAGTAATATAAAAAATATGCAAATTTTTTAGTTACCATGTTTATCAACTAATAATGTATTGAAATTTAACCATACAATGCTAGAAAATTTCCCTCAATGTGCAGGCCTAAATAAAATAAGACTTAAAAATTATATTACACAATCAACTGCAATTGTGGTCAGTTTTTTTTTTTTTTTCTCTCTCTCTCTTTCTTATCTTTTTTGAAAGATCAAAATAACTGATTTAATATTGGCAGTAAAAATAAATAGTAATGTTTAATTATTTAATAAACTTTAAATCATTAATTACTTTATTGTATTCTTAAGTGTTTTTAACAGTATTATAGAATTTTCACATGCAAATTGCAGCAATACTGATTGAGTTAAGGCTGTCGCAGGATTTAAAATTTATGAAATTTAAAAATGATTGTTAAATTAAAATTATTGAAATTATTATTATATAAATTTAAAAATTGACAAAGTTTGAAACAATATATCAAATATAAAAATGGTCAAATTAACTCAGGAATGAAATATATGAAAATAATAAAACTTTAATATTGCATGATATTTAAGTTAATAGTCATAATTAGGAAGCTAAGCTAGAGAGAACTAATTAATGGGAAGGGAGGATGAAATGTAAATTAAAGTTGATAATTACTCATTTATAAATTAGATATTTAACATTTGCCATTTCACCATAACATATATGAACATAACAAAAACAATTAATAACATACTAATGTCATCAGATCAAATAATAATTTTGTTAGAAAATTTTAGGCACCATCAATAAATATTACAAAATATCAGTATAAAATACTTCGTCCAAAAGATTTTTTGGTAAAATGTCCTATATGTGGTATTAAAAGTTTCTTTGGCTGGTTTGACTTTACAAAAAAATTTCATTCATTTATTTCAGATTTATTTTCATTAAATCATTCTTTCTAATTTTCAGTTATTTGAAATCTATATTGCCTTATATAATGATATCTGAAAAAAAAAAAAGATTTTTTTTTGAACATTTCTTAGAAATTGTTAAATTAATCCAATAGAATAGATGAATTAAAGAGAGGAAGAAAGAAGAAAGAAAGAAATAGTTGGAAAGAAAATTTTTAAATTAAAATATTCCATGTGAAAACTATAGGAAATTGCATCTTTAATAAAAAAAAAAAAAAATACATAATTTAATCACGAAGAGAAGTACCTTCTTCATTACTTATTTGCAGTAATATCTATTATTTTACATTTTCGATATGAACAAATTTTTTGAGTTAAAAAAATAAAATTTTATGTTTGTTTGTTGAACTTTTTTTTTCTGTTATAGGAGAGAAACATATGATAAAAACATTGGTGAATGGAGAAATTGTGCACGTGAACTTAAGACATACACACGTGGTTGGCCACAACACGCACGTTACTGTGATTTTGAAGATGAGCATGACGAAGCTGATTTTTGTCGTCTTCATGAATTACTACGTGAGAAGCTTGGTATTAAAATGGACGAAAGTAATGAATTAGATTTTATTGATTCAAGTGATTCAAGGAAATTATCTCGAGGACAAACTGCAAGTACCATAAATTCACATTGAGTTTTTTATTTTTATAATTTATGTATAATATTTTTGCTTTTTATTTTATTTATTTATTTATCTTTTTTTTGAACTCTAAGCAGCAGAAAATTTTTGTTAATTGAATTAATTAATAAAATCTAATAACATCCATTCAATTCTAATCAAGTATGAATTTTAGAAAAGGAGAAAGAAGAAGATTAAAAGAATTGTGGTATGAAAATGAAAAATGTATACTGTGATTCCTTTTTTCATTTTCTTCTTTTTTTTAATATTTATTAATTACATAAAAATTGTATTTTTCCAGTTCCTTTTCCTGTTTCTTTTAGATGTTTTTTTAAAATATAGTAATAAATATTATCCGCAATATGTAATGCTTATATATTTCATCATAAGCATAATTATTTCGTTGATTAAAATTTGTTTTGATGCTGAGAAGTGGCACGATTTATAGTTCGAATGTTTGCATTACTACATATATCAATAATAATAATAATAATAATAATAATAATAATAATAATAATAATAATAATAATAATAATAATAATAATAATAATAATAATAATAATAATAATAATAATAATAATAATAATATAATAATAATAATAATAATAATAATAATAATAATAATAATAATAATAATAATAATAATAATAATAATAATAATAATAATAATAATAATAATAATAATAATAATAATAATAATAATAATAATAATAATAATAATAATAATAATAATAATAATAATAATAATAATAATAATAATAATAATAATAATAATAATAATAATAATAATAATAATAATAATAATAATAATAATAATAATAATAATAATAATAATAATAATAATAATAATAATAATAATAATAATAATAATAATAATAATAATAATAATAATAATAATAATAATAATAATAATAATAATAATAATAATAATAATAATAATAATAATAATAATAATAATAATAATAATAAATAATAATAATAATAATAATAATAATAATAATAATATAATAATAATAATAATAATATAATAATAATAAAATAATAATAATAATAATAATAATAATAATAATAATAATAATAATAATAATAATAATAATAATAATAATAATAATAATAATAATAATAATAATAATAATAATAATAATAATAATAAAATTAATAACAATAATAATAATAATGACAAAAATAATAACTGCTATTACTACTATTGAGGCAACAATTGTAAACTAAAATGCTTCCCTCTTTTTCTCGTTTCCGTAATATTTGAAATTTATTCTCGGTGCTTCATGCAATCTATCGGATCTGAATGTTAGACAAGAAGAGGAATGAGGTCTGAAAAGAGCCTTATAATCTTGGCCAGTTTACTTGCAACGCCATTGTTGTCAATGCAGTTTGGCACAATGCCTTTCCATTCATCCATTCCCCTTACTTTTTTTCCTCTTTTCTTATTTATGCATCTAAGTATAAATACATATGTATGTCTATGCATATGTATGTATTTGTATGTTAAAGCTAATAAAATAGTTTAAGTTAAAAATTTTTAAACGGTATCAAAATAATTAAGAAATGAAAAATCTCATCTTCAAAACTGTTATGTAAAAATTATCAATGTGAAAAAGCAAAAAGCTTAAAGAGATTCTTTATAACTGTGAATGATCACTATCATTTATTCATAGTTTACGCTAACTGATAATTGATAAGTTAAATTTACCTGTTACTGAAATTTTCGACATGAAAATTGTTACATATAATTTAAATAAACTAACATATTTTATTCTTTTTCCTTTCATTTCGTAATAATTATCGTTATGTTTTATATATATATTAATAAGTTGTATTGTAAAATACATTCAATCTTTATTTTTATCGGTTCATTTTATTCGACAAAATCGATCAATAATTGATTAATATCAAATGATATGTGATTTTTTCCATACTAATCAGAATGATATAATCTTTTATTCCTACTTTTTTTCATTTCTCAATAATTTTTCTATAGTAAATCATTCGATATGTTACTAAATAGACATAAAATAAATGAAAATGTTGCCTAGCGACGAAGCATTATGTATCTCTCTCTGTTCATGTCTTAATTTGAGTTCTATCTGACATTAAATATAACGAAGTTAATGAAAAATATGCATACAATATTTCCTATTCGTGCTGATTTTTCTAACAAATTTATATCTATTACTTTAATATATTATTTGAGAAATTAATAATTAATTATTAAATTTTATAACAATAATAATAATAATAATAATAATATGTTAAAAAACGACAAAATGAAAACGTTAAATATTATAAATTTCTGAAAAATAAATTCAAATTTCTTTGTTAACTTCAATTTTTTTTTTTGCTTCATTCAGCAAAAATTTATTAATCAATTCTCATTATTTTCATTATAAATGAATAAATTTTCATATCAAAATATTACTTCATGACAAAAAGCTTTTGGAACTTTTACGAATAAAACTGAAACACAGGCTAAATAAAGATTTAAGTAAACTTTTGAGTATAGTGAATCATTAAACTTTTAGGTATAACTTGCCTTTCGTGTGCACTCGTGTGTGTGTGCGTGTCTGTGTGTCTGTCTGTCTGTTCGTCCGTGCATATGCATGCATATATGTGTGCATGTGTGTATGTATGCATGTATTTATGTATGTGGTTCTTATGCCATTAAGGTTTGTGGCTTCTGCCTTTTTTATGCATTAAATGAAATGGAAATGTTACATTTGTTCCGTTTCATGTTAATGTCCAAAAATATCAAAAACAAATGGAAATTATAATTTAGCAAGAATGAATTGATCGATGCATGTCTCTGACTTCTTCCCATTCTGCTGCGTCATTTTCACAGTTTTATCCGTTCATCTTGCTCTTCCGTCCTCATATTCATCCGCTGCGCTATCCGCCGTTTTGCCCTCCGGAACGGTCCAGGCATCATTCCTGATACATATGTGTAACGATGAAAAAGAGCAATGTAGCACAATCATTTCTTTTTTGTCACAATGGAGATAGAGAGAATTGATTTCAATTAGTAAATTTCACATATTTTCCATTCTAAATTATTCAGTCAAAAAATTCTCCTTTCTTCCTTTTTAATTTGTTGGCGATATTTTCAATAAAATATTTTTTTCCTATTTTTGATTGCAAAATCGATTAATTTACTTGCATAAAAAAAACACAGAATAGAAAAAAAAAGCCTAAAACTATTGTAGGCACACTAAAGTTAATTTAAAACCGTTTTTAATCGTTGTAATTTTCACGAAATTCTTCCCATAAATGTAACACATTTATGACGTATCATACACCAGATCAAAATATGATAATCAAAGAATTATTAATTTGATCCTTCTGTGAATGAATTATTATTATTAATGCTATTATTATTATTTTATTATTGTTAAAATATATATATATATATTTTATCACCATTAATTAAGATAAGGAATACTTGGTTTGATAGGTGTTATTATTGTCGTAACGTATTCATTTCCTCATTTATCACATTTCCTGTCAAAGCCTTAACTTTTATTCTTTGGCCTTAATGTTAGTCATATTTAATTTTGAGTTTTATTTTTGCTTTTTCGTAATGCAAAAACTGTAATATAAAAAGTCATAGAAACTTATGACGAATGATGAGAATTAAGTGTTTAACATGCAAATTCAAATATACTTAATATATAAATATACGTAAAATACGTACACGTTTACTACTAAATATTGTTTCCTATTTAAAATACGAAAGAAAAGGAAAAAGAAAAAGAAAACAAATATATCAGTTTAGCAAATACTATTATTAAATGACGGTAGTATTATTTATAATAATATTTTATCACATCTTTTTTAATATTTCCACGAAACATTATCACTAAATAATTTATGATCCTTCTTTTTCTGATCCTTTGATTTTTTTTTTCCTTTTTTTTGTTTGAAATTTAAACGAATAAATTGACATTTTTCGATTTTTGAGGAAAGAGGAGACAAAACAGAGGTTAAATCGTTCTGTCGATTCCTTTTACAGTCTAGCCCTCTTCACTTCTTTTTTTTTCAACTTAACATAAAATGCTCATTGCACGAATTAGTTCCTTCTACTTTTCATTTCCTTTGCAAACATTTTCATCCATTTGTTATCAACTATTTCATGCTAATATTTCATTCCTTTCTTTCTTTCTTTCTCCCCCTCCCTTTCATCCTATGTTTTCCTTCTTTTTTCATTTTCCAATTTTTTTTCTAACTTTTTCTGGTCCCCTTCACTCCAGGTTAAAACCTGCTGTACAATTCATGAGAATTCCAATTATAATGCATCAACCCATGAAATTTTTATATTTAGATCTACTGAAGTGACAATGACGTCTTGTATTAATGCTGACATTTCCGGTGACCTTTATTGATTGAAATAATTTCTTACACTCATCATTTCTTGTGAAAAAAACATTACCGATTATTTACTATAAATAATATACTATTGAAAATTATCATAAATATATTGGTGTAATATAAAATTTATAAGTTGTATTGTAATTATTTGTGTTTCATTATAGATTAAAACATTTGATTAAAGTATCTGTTAGCAACAATTTCAAGCAGTTAAAATAAATAAGCAGAATTAATGAATATTAAGGAATAAAATAATTATAATATTATTAAGTAAAAATTCCTTAGCTTTACCAACTAATAAAAAATAATCAAATGAAATATTAACATTTTAAATGATTTGAATGACAACTTTTAATGTAATCGGTCATCCGCTATGATGAATAAAAGGAAAAAAAAAATGTGAAATGATAAAATAACTTTTTTTTAACTATTATTATTTTAGAATATTTCTTAAACTATTCTAACGCTGTCAAATTTGCAACTAACATTTATTTCATATTTAATTTATGCTGTGTTTTTGTATTTATTTATTTTGCGTTAAATTTTACACTTACTAGTTATAATTACTGCCTAAGCTTGTTTAAAAAAAAATAATATATATCACAAAAATGATTGTTAAAAATAATATCACAAAA